ATATTGCTGTTAATTACAGACAATCGGATGGACAAGTTGTCACTAAGTGCCGGGCTCTGTCTTTTGCCAGTATACCCCCTCCTTTCACTATTCTGCGTGTTATAGTTGGAGGCTTCTACTAAAGAGACTGGACAGATACATTCCTGTTTGCTTCCATTTTCTTAAACATCTGTCACTTACAATTTCGAGTTTGCTGTTCTAAAATTAGTGTGTGAAATACAAGTTTCACCCACTGTAAACATGCAAAGAGGCTCTTTAAACCATGACTCAAAAACAGTTTTATTTTTTTCATTATGTGGGTTTGTTTGGAAACTAAAATAAACTACATGCTGTTCCATAAGAAATAACAATAAGTTAAAGGGACACTCCAGACCCCTAAAGCACTTTTTTTTTTATTTTACAAACACTTCAGTTTTCAATAGAAATTTGCACTTGTATAGATTAACCTAGTGGCACCCCTAGATTAAGAGCACAGTTGGCCTGGTGCTGACAATTATGATGGGCCTAATTACAAAATCTTATCGACCAAAAACACTAAAACAGTTCTATCTCCCAAGCGTCATGTATCTGATGGAGATGGTGCTGAAGGGAAACTCATAGGATGCAGCTACAAGAAAGCACATACTCTATGCTAATCTCTCGCTTTAATCGTTCAAGTAAATCCATACCCCCTAACAGCAGTGTCCAGTGAAGCAGGAAGTCTATGGATGGGGTAAAAGGGTGGGACACGGACCCAAATCACGTAAACAGAACTGCCGAAAGGGGAGAACATACGCAAAAAAGGGGCATGTCTGTGTCCCCATATCTTCCAGTGTCCTCATGTCACTAGGACACTAAGAGACACTGGGACACTGGGAGACATGGGGATACTAAGATACTAGGAAACACTGGGAGACCTGGGGACTCTGAGACACTTGAGGACACACGGGGAGACATGGGGTCACTGGGTGACTTTGAGACATGAGGGGACACTGGGAGACACGGAGCACTGAGACACTGTGATACATAGGGGACACTGGAGACTTGATAAAGACCTGGATACAGGTCAAAACGTTTCAGTGTCCAATAAACCTGCTTAAATCTATCACAGTGAGTGCCTGAGATTTTTTCTATTATACTAGGGGTACTGAGACACTTGGGGGCACTGGGAGACATGGGGACACTGGAAGACTAAGTGACACTGAGACACTAAGGATACTAAGACACTAATGACACTGAGAGACACTGAGACACTGTGATACAAAGGGGAAACTGTGATACATAGGGGACACTGGAGACTTGATAAAGACCTGGGTACAGGTCAAAATGTTGCGGTGTCCAATAAACCTGTTTAAACTTTCACAGTGAGTGCCTGAGATTTTTTTCTATTATACTAGGGGACATTAAGACACTGGGAGACATGGGACACTCACTGGGAGACATGGGGACATTGGAAGACATGGGGACACTGAGACACTGGTTGACTCTGGGAGACTAGAAAACACTAAGACACCAGAGACACTGGCACACTACAGACACTGAGAGACACCAAGGACTCTGGAAGACATTGGGGACACTGAGATACTAGGGACATTGGCTGGGAGACATGAGGACACTGAGAGTGCCCCATGTCTCACGGGTCTCAAAGTCGCCCAGTGTCCCCATGTCCCCAGTGTCCCTTAGAGTCTGTGTCCCCATGTCTCCCAGTGTCCCCATGTCACTAGGACACTAGGGGACACTTAGAGACACGGGGACCTGGGGACACTAAGACACTTGGGGAAACATGGGGACACTTGGGGACACTCAGAGACTAGAGGACTCTGGGAGACAAAGGACACTGAGAGACACCAGGGAGACATGGGGACACTGAGACACTAGGGACACTGGCTGGGAGACATGGGCACACTGAGAGACTAAGGGTCACTGGGAGACATGGGGCCCCTGGGTCCCTAATGTCTCAGGGTCCCCATGTTCCCCGGTGTCCCTATGTCTCCCAGTGTCCCCATGTTTCACAGTTTCTCCTAGTGTCTCTGTGTCCCTAGGTCTCCCAGTGTGTCCTCTAGTGTCTGTGTCACAGTGTCCTCTAGTGTCTGTGTCTCCATGTCTCAGTGTCCACTAGTGTCTCATTGTCCTCAAGTCTTACAGTGCTTCCTAGTGTCAGTGTCCTCAAGTGTCCCTATGTCTCTCAGTGTCTCCATGTCTCACAGTGTGCCCTTGTGTTCCCAAGTGCCCCTATGTCTCCTAGTGTCCCTATGTCTCCCAGCATCCCCTAGTGTCTTAGTGTCCCTATGTCTCCCAGTGTCCCCATGTCTCCCAGTGTCCCCTAGTGTCTCAGTGTCCCCTAGTCTCCCAGTGTCCCCAGGTCTCCCAGTGTCCCCTAGTGTCTGTGTCCCCATGTCTTCCTGCAGCCTTTCCTCCCATCCCTCACTTATCCGAGCTGTAGGCTGTCTCTGCAGGCTTGGAGCTGCTGTTTGGACTCTCTGTGCAATCAGTCTCTAACAGCATACAGTACATCCCCTCAAGAACGAGACAAAGCTCCGTGTTGAGGGTCAAGCAGTGAACAGACAGAGCAGACAGAGCTGTGGGTTTATTGTTCTTATGTACACATTCTTACACATTAGTACCACCCACAGGGTTTTGGAAAACAACCAATAAACACGTGCAATACACTCAGACACTCCCACACAAAATCCTCCCCTCTGCCTGTGGTACAATTACCTTAAACAATGGGTAATGTAATTATCACAGCCAGAGAGATACAGTTTTTCCACATTATTCATAACTTGAAAAATATGTATCACATTCACATAAAAGTCTTCTATCCTGGAGATAATCGGGAAGTAATCCAATTATCTCCAAGGACAGAGGCAAAACTCCATTGAACACATGGCAGCAAAAGATAATAAAAATATATAACTGTGCAGCCATTGCACATAACAGGTACATATCCCCAGATAGCTCAGATCTGAGCGCACATTATTACTGAATGGCGCTCAGAGCACACACATACAGTTCAATTGCCATGGAGCCAAAGTCTTTCCCATAGTCTTTCATTATACGAATGGGCTCCATGGCATAGTTATCTGGGGTATCACCGCTCAAACAGGGCAAGCACCGAATGACCCGGCTTTCGTGTCTTCGCAGGGGAAAATCAAGCGTTTCAACATGGGGCCATAGTCTAAAGGCAGCAGGCGGGTAACCAGGCTCCTCCAATGCACAGTGGCGAGATTGGTCTCGTCACATCTCTCCCCTTTTCCAAACAGACTAACAGGGTATCTGACCTCCTGCCGGTCAGTGCCCTTGTTAGTCCACCCACAAAACACAATCAGTAATACAGCCCACCCACAATAACTGGTTACTACACCTGGTTAGAGGAGAACTTTGTCCATGTCCAGGTGCCTCACCATGGCTGTGTGGGTGACTGGTAAGCTGCCTTGGTGGGTTGCTGAGTGGGCAGAGACCAGCGCTACCACGGGAGTAGCCTGGTTGTTTGAGGGGGAGACCGACTGTCTCCCCTTTGGTTACACAGCTCTGCTGCTGGAGGGGGAGACCGACTGTCTCCCCTTTGGCTAAACAGCCCTGTCACTGGGGGGCAGGACCGACCGTCCCTACCCCCTGTGCTGTAAGTGCAGAGACCATGGTCCCATCTGCATGGTTGTGGGGCTTACTGGTACGTTAAGCTGCTGCTGGGGAGAGGGGGTAACAAGCTCCTCTCCCATATATACTTCCAGCCGCGGGGGAGGGAGACCGACTGTCTCTGTTCCCAATACAGAGTCCTGCTGCTGGGGAAAGGAGACTGGGCTCTCTATTCCCTGTAGGACACTCTGCTGCTGGGGAATGGAGACTGGGCTCCCAATTCCCTGCTGTATCTCCCGCTGGGGAATGGAGACTGGGCTCCCAATTCCCAATAACTCATACTGCCGCTGGGGAATGGAGACTGGGCTCCCAATTCCTTGCAATTCACTCTGCTGCTGTGGGACAGGAGCAACTATCTCTGTCCCCTGTAAATCAGCCTGCCGCTGGGGAATGGAGACTGGACTCCCAATTCCCTGCAATTCACTCTGCTGCTGGGGGACAGGAGCAACTATCTCTGTCCCCTGTAACTCAGCCTGCTGCTGGGGAATGGAGACTGGACTCCCAATTCCCTGCAATTCACTCTGCTGCTGGGGGACAGGAGCAACTATCTCTGTCCCCTGTAACTCAGGCTGCCGCTGGGGAATGGACACTGGACTCCCAATTCCCTGCAATTCACTCTGCCACTGGGGAATGGAGACTCGGCTCCCTATTCCCTGCAGATCACACTGCCGCTGGGGAATGGAGACTGGGCTCCCAATTCCCTGCATATCACACTGCCGCTGGGGATCTGAGCCGACCGCCCAGCATCCCTGTAACTCACCCTTCCGTTGGGAAGGGAGGACGCTGCTCTCCTCTCCCTGCAAGGTACACTGCCGCTGGGGAGGGGAGACGATGCTCTCCACTCCCTGCACTTCACACTGCCGCTGGGGAAAGGAGACACGGCTCTCTATTTCCAGCAAATCAATCTGCCGCTGGGGATCTGGGCTGACCGCCCAGCATCCCTGTAGGGCCGGTGGAGAGACCTCAGTCCCATCTCCACCTGCTGCCTGGGGTTCCTCCCAGTAAAGCTCTACAATATCTTCCCAGCTGAAGGGGTCTGGATCTGGGTCTGTCACCTCGCTGTCCTGCTGAGCCTTCCCAATGGAGTGGAAGAGATCTTGGTAGTCCTGCTCCAGTTCCCACTCCAGGGTTGCTAGGTGAGCCAGGTCTTGCTCTACCTCATGGGGGTCATCCCAGTCATGCCTAGCCTCCCTCTCGTAGAAAATGTCCTGAAGTCTGGTCTGTGCAGGGCTCCCGAAGTCAGGCTCTACAAGGCAAGGCAGCCTGCTTCCTTGAGCTTCTGGCAAAGATATCTCTAATGAGACAGAGAGGGGTATTTTTTATATATATATATATATATATATATATATATATATACACCCCTATATACTTATTAAACCTTAATAGGGAACACATGGGATAGGCGGCAGCATTGTAACAAGGCTGTGTGATATAAAGGACTTCTCTTTTTGTATTTACTTTGTATCACACAGCCTTGTTACAATGCTTGTTACAATCCCATGTGTTCCCTATTAAGGGTTAATAAGTATATAGAGGTGTATATATAAAAAAAAAAAAAAAAATACCCCTCTCTGTCTCATTAGAGATATCTTTGCCAGAAGCTCAAGGAGGTCTGTCTTTATGTTGGCAGGCGGGCATTCCCTCCAATTGCCATTGAAGCAACTAAATGACCTCCATTTGTCTAAATATACATAGGGATTAAGGAGAGAGCGCAGGTAACTTTTTTCTATTCTTTGGTTTTTACTATATATTGGGGCTGATGTGTACTGTAGTCATTGCTGCCGGCCCAGTAGTGATGGGAGTGAGTGTAGGACTTCTCTTTTTGTATTTGAGATAGACATTTGTATTGCCAGTATTACTGCAATACCGGCACCAGCTAGGCAGCCTCAAATACCGGAGAAATACCGGTCAGGTGGCAACCCTTAGAGTAGTATATAAAAGATTTTTTTTTTTTTTTTTTTAAACCAATGGGCCTATTCCATGGGCATGGGCATGGGTCT